AATGCCCTCTCTTCTTCCATCTTGTTAACTGTAATGGCCACTACGTTTAAATCGGGATATAGGTCTGTGTTATCCAAAAGTTGCTTTGACGCGCGTTCGACTATCCTTAAGTAATGCGCGTTGAAGATTAACACACACTATCATATGCGGAATAGCCAAATCGCTCGTGTGTCGTTTCGCATAAGATACAGTGTTAATCTACGACACCCATTACTTAACGCGCGTCAAAACAACGCTCGTGTGCAGGAGGACTTATTTCGTAGATCCATTATGCATAACCGTAATTTAATATTTTGTTTCATTCGAAAATCTCTAAAAAATCATCACATTAACTATTGACAGAGGATTGTGTTTTTCGTGACGTTTCTCTTATTTATTTTATACGTTTTAATATATCCTTTTTTTTCGTTAGTAAATCACAAGATAAATCCATCACGATAACTTACAGAATATTTTGTTTCTTGTGACGTTTTTCTTGTTTGTTTGATACTTTCTCTTCTATTCTATTTTTTTCGTTAGTAAATCCCAATGACACTCAATCACGACCACCATTTGATGACAGCTTTCTTCTGTATGCATAAATCTTTCTGTTGTTCGTCAATTAATGTGTACGAAAAAGTCATTTCATGAACATATGTGAATAGTATTATGTGAAAATCTGCGCTGCAAACATCCACATGCTTTTGAAACTTGGTATCGGCAATGTGACCTTTACATCAAGTATAAAAAGGGATATTTTTCGGATTTCTCCATCCTTGCCGTATTGTTTATCACAATTTTATGCGACATTCTTTTTTTAAGTATATGTAATTGCTGTATTTCCGTAGTCTTGCAAGTTGATTGTCTTCGACTTATTGCCAATATTTCCTTTCGTATTTTAGTACAATTCGATTTAATGACTTTCTTAAGAAAGTTGATTGATACTGTCATGCCAGAATTCATAATCAAAGACATTAAGTGGAGATGCCTCGGTAACTTAAAGCATTTTACTACAAATAAAAATTTTATGTTTGTGTCAGTTGTTCGTAATTGTAATTTGCGAATATTATGCCACAAAAAATATACTCAATAATGGATATGGTAGTGAGATTTTTAATTTTAATTGGTGTGTAAGTAAACATCTTTAAAGTAATGTAACTTCGTTACATGAAATTTCCCACATAATCATTAACAGAAAGTAATCATCACCGACGTCACTATAAAACGTTAGTAACCTTGTTCAGCAATACAAATATAATTCCATTTCAAAGACAATTAGCAACAATTTGTGTTACACACCTCCTTTCGAAGTCGCTTACAACACTTCCTACAGTATGCATTAGTTGTGTGGATATGTAAGGCAGTGCCCCATCAGTAAACAGCATAACTTCCATATTCTGCCATTAGCATGATTAAAGTAAAACATATTACCAAGCATCAACCACCCAACCCAGAGTCTCGGAACATCTTGGGAACAATTAGATCCAACTATGTAAGCATTTTGAACAAAGTACGCAGAAAAGGCATAGTTCCAGCTTGTTCAGAACAATGAGCCATTAATTAAAGTGGGAGTAAATGAGCAAAAGAAATAAATCGTTAACTTAGTTTCCATATTTAATTTCAGGAATTATTAAGAAAACTTAAACGGATCATATATAAGCAACACAAACACAGACTGACTGTTGCCATATGGGCGAAAAAACTACTTCTATATTCTTAGCATCTATATCTGTCACAACACCAGCATATTGCCTTTTCAGTTTTCTTCCTTTAACGGTAACTCACAATCACAAATTACTCTACAATCAACACATGTTCTGATTGTTCTTCTGAGATAGTTGAAGCCTGGTTTATCTTTTCTTTCGAAGCAGTTATTTCATTTTCTGCACAAGTTTCACCTTCCCTCATATCTTGTTGTAATGCAAATTTTCCTGGAGGAACGTTTATTTTCTTTCGTCGACGTCTGGGGCTGCTGGATATAGGATGGTTAGCATGTCTTAGAGTTTCTTCAAAGCAGCTAGTCCATGATGTGTTACTTTCTTCTTAATCACCCTCACTAGTAATTTACTTAAAACACGCTTTGGGTCAAATGGAGTTAACCCAGTCGCTTCGTAGGCCTTTAATGTTTTGACGCTGATGAGCGGCTATTTTATTTAACGTTTGTTTAAGCAGCGCAGGAAACGCATCATTTGAAAGTGTGTTATGTGTGTCCTTTTTCCACTCGCTTAACACATTCCGCCTTGCAATCTTCATTAGCCTGAAAAAGCAAACGTCTAGAGGTTGTAGTAAATGCGTAGTGTTTGGAGGTAATAAAACAAAAATTATATTGAGGCGCTCGCACTGTTCCAATACTAACAGTGACAAGTGACTCGACAGATTGTTCCCAAACATTATTTTTTGACCTTATTTATGTTTCAGGTAGGGTAATTCAATTGTCCGAAACCAATCTCAAAGATTGGTAGGTCAAACCATCCACAACTATTGCGATTGTACCGTGTTCGTGTAGGGCCACCTTCCTGCCAAGTATCCCAGACACGTTCTACTTTGTATATAACATATAACGTCACTTGCTGCAGCCATCATTATTGACACACTAGTCTTCGAAGAATCTAGTATTCTTTGAGGATAATTTGCACCTCTTTTGACAATACTCGAGTTTTCCCTGGATCATCACATAAGTTAGTTTCGTCATAATTAATAATGTTACAAAGAGGAGTGTTCTGAAGAAGAAGGTGGATGTTATCGAAGTAACACTTAATTGTTTTATAATTCACTCCGGCACGTTCTCTCTCTTTCGCTGAGCTATTAATTTTCGCTGAGTCTAACAGAAATACTGCTAGAGTGTCTAGAAAAGATCTTACCCAATCCACACCTAGCAAAGTGTTTGAAAATCGACATGCGCCCTTTTATATCAAGATATCCTTTGACAATGTACCTAATGTCATCAAAAGTAAACGGGAAACCTCAGTGTGCAACTCTGTTAATACCATGCACCAGCGTTCCTTCTTCTTCCGGTGTTAGAACAAGTTGACCACCCGTTGATCCCAGATGTTTCGTGTTAACTTTGTTCTCTATAGTTTACCTAATCACGTGATAAAATTACGCCTTACGATACGAAAAGTTTCCTACTCGGACCGCCCTGAAAGCAGCTTCCAGTTTCATAGGATCATAGTTCCTCTTGATTTGGACATCAAGTAATTTTTTAAACACACGCCGCATCGTCCGAAGTCATCCCACGTTGGTACACACTGATTAATTACTTCCCTTGAAGCAGATACTCAAGTGAATTTGAAGCAGTAAAGTGTCTCGACCTCTGAAAATGCTTTAAACAATAGTGTCACATGCTTCGACATTGTTAATGTACAACCATTCTTGCAGCAATGAAGTAAACTGTTCAGATGTAATTTATCAGTTGATTTTATCAGTTACTTATTGTTGATGCCACACGGGAATTGTGTTTCCCATTGTTGAATACGTGCCGAAGTTATACCCCGGGATACGGTAGTTACGAAACGATAAAAAAGATGGGAGACAGTTTTCTTTAACTTATTATTACAACGACTTAAATATAACGATGTGAAAATGTCCGAAATCACCCTAGTGTCCAATTTTACCGCAGATGACGGGATATGTAAATACGGGTTTCCAACCTCTTACAGTGGGCACTGCCCACGCTATTTGAATGTAGCGTTGGTACCTGTGTCAACCACAGATACTGGTTACAATTACGACAATGTTTTACTGTTCTTTAATATTCTTAAAATAATATTTCCGCTCTACTATTGGGAAACTTAAAAATTAAGATTTTGTAAATGTGCTTGGGCGGCGATAAAAGGCTGCTGGCTAGAGTATGTAACAAGTCCGAATAAATAATTTTGTTCGCTAAAAAACCTTTCATCACAAATTTTGTAATAAAAATGTTCATAGTTTTGAATCCTTTCAATAACTAAGGATGGAATTTTGTAGGCATAAATTACAAGTATCTAGGAGTATTTTTCTTTTTGAAAATCGAAAATAAGCGATGACGTATTTTCACTATTGATTTTTAAAGATGTTTACCCATTTATGTTCTTAATAACCTTGCAGTGACCTTGAAAAGTTTTTGTTGTGCAATTTTTCTGTTGCTTGACAACAGTAGATAGTGTTAAAATATTAGTCCAAACTTTATGAATACCGTTTAGCTTGGAATTGTTTAGTGCTACAATACCGGGGACAATATTAAAATCGTTAAAAAATTGAATTATTTTTAGATAGAAAATAACGTCCCAAAAATGTTTTTCAGGTGTTTACACCATGTTGAATCCGAAAACACAAATTGCATGATTTCCGAACCTTGCTGGTTTTCTGTTGACCGTGTTGCCAAACATATTATTGTTATTGTATATATTTTCTTAACATTATTTTTGTTCAGATTCTGATGATTCATTTGTAGTCGCTAATAACCTTGTACTGACCCTTCCCCGCCCCATAAATAATATTTTTGAGGCAAAAAAGTCTTCAAATTAAAAATGTTTATTCAGAGTGGTAGTTCACTTTTGAATGTGGTGCAAACAAGATGTGGTACTTAATGTTTTGAATTTAATTGAATATTATTACTACTATGAAATGCTGGCTTTAGGGACAGTGGCAAGGATTTCGTAGATCCTCCCCAGCCCCACGAAAAAAGAAAATGTCCTATATCTACGCACTCTACGTTGTCTTCTCGTTGTTTACGTGTATACGTAGATCTTTGTACTATACATGTAGACTACGACACTGGTTTCATCTCTCCAAATGTGTTAGACTGATGTCGATGGTTGTTATCAGGGTTTTTTGCTTTTCAGAGTTCGTTTGTTCTAATACTTATCACAAAACTCTTTATAGATAACTTCGGATTATTTGACAACATATCTTTTAATGACTTATTACGAATGTAATCTTAGTTTCGTAAAGTTACACTTTAAATGTCCAAAGGGAACAAATATATTAAATCATACCCATTTCTCGACAAATCCTTGAGGCCCGGCACCGATGTAGTCCCTTCAATGGGCGTTGCTGCCACATGGCCGTTGGTCTCCATTTCTCTTCCCATCTATTTCACCAGCATATGTATTCTGAAAATATATATGTAGTTATTTATTAAACCTTGTGCGGCACTATAATTGTAACAGTAAGAGCTTCAATGCGAATATTTAATGGATTGATTGATTAGGGTGTTCGGGAGCGTCAGCTTCTGAGATCATTAGTCGCGTTTGTAGTGTAGTTTATTTTTATTGACAGAGGGGGCGGTGATCTTCCACCGCTGGGTAGCAAGATTCTGTGCCGCGCTACTCGTTGGCTTCCGGAGATTTGTCTCAACCAAGTATCTCCCACCAGCGTGGCACCACCCCAGGCAGAACATGTCTCCGACTCTGCCTCGACATCTGTGGTAGTGTGGTGCATGTGAGAGTAAGTAAATGGTGAGGAAAGAACAAGCAAGAGGAAAGAAATATCGCGCGCGGTCCGCAGCCCGTTTATTACTGTACTGCTCTGGCATTCGCCTGATGTTTATTGGAGAAACCACGAAAAACTATCGATCAGATCAACCGGCAGCTACAATTCTCCTCCACTCAGCAGCGGAATTCGACCTAGCTATCTAGCTAGTGTCAGAACTCTTGCCACCGACGGACCTCGAACTCTAGAAGTTTTCGGTCAGCAGTGCCATCATCTGCTGCCCTGCGCCACCTTTGCCTGTACGAAGAGTGAAAAATATCGGTTTTTATATCATGTTCAATCTGCATTTGATATTTCAATTTACACTTCCAAGAAGAAAATGCAAAATTATCTCAGAATAAAATGTCGTTTATAGCACCGCTATTTTTACATTATGAATTTTTAATGATTATGACGTATAGGGGGTTACAGTCATGAGTAGATTCATTAGCATGTGCTCGATAATTTTTGAATAATTTTATATAATAATTCATAAAGAGATTAAAAATGTATTATTTTTAATAATCGTTTGTCTTACTTTTGTTTTTGTATCTGAATATTATTACAGTGTACCATAGTCTGGGCGTGCATAAAGTTCCCTCCGGTATTAATCTGGCCCTAATAAAAAGCACTCCAACAAGGATTGTGAAAAAAGAAACTGCTTCCCAAACTTTCAAAAGAGTACTCTTCGTGGTCTGCGAGTTTCACTATCGGTACCAACATTGCGATCTTCGTTCTTTGTGAAGTATTATGATCAAAAAAGTTCGTTACTTCCAGGCAAACCATTATAAAATTATTTTATTTTATTGGATTTTGTAACACACATTTTATTATTTTATAATGACATACGTACTTATTTTTACTACTAACTAGGTTTCGTTGTCCCACCCTATAGGAGCAACTTGCGTATGAGTCAACGACGAACTGGTTAGATGTTGTTTCGATAAATGCATAAACGCAGTATTGGGGAAGACGACGAGCTGTATAACTTCAAAGTCATATCTTAAATTTGGTTACATGCTGTTAGGAGCCCTGGTTGTTCTCTCACACTTCGCACGCAGCACTTGACGGTATCGTAAATGTGAGTAGATATAAGTACCATAAACAATATACGACTTCCAAAGTCGTAAACAAATGTATCGAGTTTATTAATTTCTCTGTTGTTAAATAGGTTTTGGTGAGGATGAGAGGGACAGGTCCACGTAAGTTTTATCTTCACGCGACAAAAAATTGTAGCACTGACAATAAAAATGGTACATATAAATACTACAGATATAGCAAGTAGATAACTGTAGTAGGAAACCTGTCTTAAGCGTTCACCTGTGGACCCGGAAAAAGTATCCGTTAACAAAGGCAGCCCCCTAATCAAGATTGAGAGGCTACTGGAAACGTAAATCGAATATAATATAATTACTTCGAAATGATGTATGGTCTCTTGAACATGTTTAGGTATCAAGTAAGAAAATTCAATTCAAAACAAAATATTTAGGATCGTTCGCCTCTCGACTAGTGCCAAACATTCAATTAACTTCCTACTCAATATCAGTTGAGATTCTCACTGTCCTCAGCAAATAGAACAAACGAATAGACACTAAGATGCAATCCACGACCTGTATAAAGTTTACAGACAGGGCGCTCTGTATTGAAGACTTCCAAAGCAGTAACAAAATGTATCAAGTCTATTAATTTCTCTGCTGTTTGATAAGTTTTTGGTGAGGTCCGTGGTTTCTACGATCAACGCCAGGCAAATACCAACGCACTACACTGTCTTAGAAATTCAAAATCAACTAGTCCATAACCTTCTACTAATTATGCACTAATTTTGTAAAAAAATATATAATTTTGTTCCCAACAATAAACGATTAAAAAACGACTATCAATGAATCACTTTTTGCGTAAATTTTCTATTTTTAGAAACTCATTTCGAATCAAATTTTGAAGTTGAAATTTATAAAGCTATTTAGTACTATAGTGAACTTTTACTTTTTTAATTTCTTTAATTTCAAAATTTTATCTGGCCCCTCAACAGATATTACGGTCTACAAACACAAATAATTGCAAGCGGTAGAAAACAGAAGTGTTCGCCATTACTTCCCGTTCCCTGAAAATAAAAATGAACTAGCCTGATCGAAATCGTTTAATTATGTATTTATAACACAGACGTAGCCAAGGTATTTCCAGACGAACATGAAACATGAAAAAAAATGTACATCACTGATTACATTCATCAAAAACTTAATCAATGAACGATTCAAAGTTATAAACGAATAAATATTACTACATCTTAGACAATCATGTTAATATTTGCAGTACAATAAGTTAAATTAGAAACTATTACCTTCAAAACTATTACCCCTGATATCGTCGGCCAAGAAATACTTCCTTTTCCGCTAGTTGGAGAAAGGAGCGTAGCGAAAATTGCGTGGTCAGACGGAAGAGCAGGCCTCATGGCCTGAATCTCGCCACATAAAATAAGGCATCAATTCAATTCCGTATTACCCTGCTTATACTTGTCATCAATCATTGGAACCCAGATGTTGCTTCATATTGCACAGATATGTTTACTTCATCTATTTGAACGTGGCGACCCAGAGAGCAATTGTTTTGGGAAAACTCTTTTACATTTTCACAAAACCAAATAACTTGTTTATAATTTAAAAACTGATCTTCTCCTTTACATGCCATCGAAACTCAGTATTTTTTTACAAAGTCAAGCAAATTGTTTGTAATTGAAAATATCGATATTCTCCTTTACAGGCCACATTTTCAAAAAATATATGACCATAAGCATGTTATTTGACACTAGCTGGCTTATGGAACAACATTGAATATTTATCATTAATACATGTTATATGCAAAATATTTGGTTTTAGCATACTACAAATATAAAAAATGTAATCTTCAGTTGTATTTAGCAGCTCTGAATAGTACACCAGCAAAACGTCTGAGTCAGAATTGAGTCGTCCTTCTGTTTTCCAATTAGCACGTGTTGTTATGTCGTATACGCCCTTCCTCTACGTACGTAGCAACGTTTTCATGGCGTTGTCAGCTTCTAATATTTCAACCGGAATACGTTAAATATTTTCCATTTTCAAATGT